TTTAAAACACTTAGAAAACAAAACAAACAACAAAACATGTACATGTATAAAAAAAAATTTTTTTGTCTTTTAAGTTACTGATAAAATAAATCAGAAACTTAATTAATATTTTATTATCAAAACCGAATTCACTGTTATCGCGTCGCATAATATTGTACAATATCGGTATTTTGATCGTGAAATTTAAAATAATAGAAGGTTACATTATTATATTGAAAAGGCCTAAAGAAATTTGTTTGATTAATATTGCAAAGTGAAATTAATTGATTGCAAGTGGTTGAATTGTGAAAAAGGGTTTTCAACAATTTGGAAGGAATATTGTATTAATTGAAAGGAAAAATACTATAATTGTGTTGTGATTTGTGATTCATAAAATATAAAAAAGACACTTATTTGAACATTGGGTGCGTTTATATTTTGATGAAATAAGATCATCAGCAGAGGAGCAAATATTACGATGTGATTGAACGGAAAAGTACACGTTGAACATAATTACCTAACTAAGTGTGACTATTTGAGTAAAAACTTAGTTTGAGTGGGATTTATTTATTTGAATTACAGATTCATTATATTGGAGAGTTCATCAATCAACTTAAGTGAAGTTGAGTGAAATTGGGATACGTCCGGAGTGCACTTACTTGAGTGAGCATATATTAAGTAAACTTAAGTTGAGTGAAAAGCTTAAGTGAAAAACTTAAGTAAATAGTGAAGTGAAATACTTAAGTAAATAGTGAAGTGAAATACTTAAGTGAATAGTGAAGTGAATAATTAAGTGAATAGTGAAGTGAAATACTTAAGTAAATAGTGAAGTGAAATACTTAAGTGAATAATGAAGTGAAATATTTAAGTGAATAGTGAAGTGAAATACTTAAGTGAATTGTGAAGTGAAATACTTAAGTGAATTGTGAAGTGAAATACTTAAGTGAATTGTGGAGTGAAATACTTAAGTGGATAGTGAATACTTAAGTTGAGGAAATACTAACATCAAGTGAATACTTAAGTTGAGTGGATACTTAAGTTGAGTGAATACTTAAGTGAATACTTAAGTAAAAACTTAAGTGAGTTAATTCAGAAGTGGATTCATTTGGTGATTTTGAGAGAAGTGAATTTAGAAATCTAATATGGCAACCGGAGGAAAGGAAACGAAGAAGAGTGAGGATGTGATAAGTGAGGAGGAAAGACAAATATTTGATGTGTTTCATAAATTATCTGTGAAACCAGAGAAATGGGAAACTCCAGAAGATTTAATTACATTCGTTGAGTATGTCAAAAGTTTTAAAAGTGGACCTTCAACTAAGGTAGTAACAGATGAGAGTAGTTCTAAAGGGAGTTACCAATTTCCGAGAATATCTACATTTTACGGAGAAGATAATAAAGGAGACGTGAGCTGGGAGACATTTTATTTTGAAATTTGTTCATTGTTAGCTGACAAATATTTTACAGATGACCAGATACTTCTTGGTATTCGTAGAGCAGTTAAAGGAAATGCAAGTGATGTAGTGAGACGACTTGGGATTGGAGTTACAGTGAAAGAAGTGTTGACGAAATTGGAAAGTACATTTGGAAATATAGAAACAAAGGAGAGCATTCTTAGAAAATTCTATTCCACAAAACAATCAAATGAGTCTATTCTTAGTTTTTCATCAAAATTGGAAGAAATATTTACGCAGGCAGTCAGTTTGAAAGCTTTGAAGAAAACAGATGATGAAATATTAAAGCAAGTACTGTACCAAGGATTAAGACCAGACATTAAACATTTAGCAGCTTATAAGTGTGACACTATAGATGATTATGATCGTTTCAAAATAGAATTGAGGAAGGTAGAAGCTGAACTAAAGTCAGAATCGGAATCTACTACTAAAAGATGTAATGTGGCAGCAAATTTAGAGAAGAAAGAAACTTCAGAAATGTCAGAAGTGAAAGATCTTTTAAAGAAGCTGAATGACAGAATTGATAATATTGAAAAGGAAAAGAAACAAGATCAACATCAATACAATTACAATAGATTTCCAAGAGGATACAGAGGTTCATGGAGAGGTTCTAATTACAGAGGTTATAGAGGAAGAGGTAGAAATGACATTAGACCTGCAAGACCTATTGGTACAAACACGTTTCAGCCAACTTGCTATAATTGCAATGAGAAGGGACATCTATCTAGAAACTGCCCACTAAATCAGCCAACATGTTTTAAGTGTAATGAAAAAGGACACATTGCCAAGCACTGCCCAAAAGAATAAGTGCTCAGATTTCGGAATCCAATCAGGGCACTACTATTAATAGAGATTCCAAATTAGTAGGAAATACCAACGAGGTTAATATATCCATCAACAACATAGATACAACAGCTTTATTAGACAGTGGAAGTTGTGTTAGCCTGATTTCGCAGTCTTTTCATAACAGCCATCTTCAACATATTAAAATTCAGCCTTTGGAAAACATATTGAACATTGAATGTGCTGATGGAAAACAATTACCTTATTTAGGATATCTTGAATTAGAACTCAGCATTAAAGTGGGACTGCCAAAATCTAAATCTCTGACATGCCTGTTCTTAGTAACACCAGATACAGATTATTCCACAACAACTCCAGTCATTCTTGGGACAAACATATTGAACGAATTACTAATGGAATGTAAACAAAATTTTGGGGAACAGTTTCTACAGAAGGCGCAACTACACACTTCTTGGTATTTGTCATTTAGATGTTTGGTTTTAAGGGAAAAAGAATTAAAGAAGAACAAAGATAGACTAGCCATAATTAGAAATGCTACACCTCATAGATTGATCATCCATCCAAATGAAACTTTGAATATCCAAGGATACATGGACAAGGAAATAGATTATCATCCCACAGTCGCAATTACTCAGGAATCTAAAGAATCATCATTACCTGATTACATTGATGTCACACCAAGCGTTGTAAACTACAATTATGGAAAGAATAATGAAGTTACAATCAGCATCTCTAATTTAACAAGCAATTCAGTGACTATTGCTCCAAAAGCTATTTTGTGTGAGCTACAACCAGTGACAGTTGATGAAGAAGTTTTTAATAGGATGGAAGATACATATATACATGATGACCTGATAGAAGGAATTAACATAGACAATAGCAAACAACTCGATGATCACCAAACATTACAGATCAAACACTTGCTATATAAACACAAAGATATTTTCTCCCACAGTGATACTGATATCGGAAATTGTACTATGATGAAACACAGAATAGATTTAATAGATGAACTCCCATTCAAACAAAGACATAGAAGAATACCTCCGATGATGATTGATGAAATAAGAAGACATTTAGAACAATTACTTTCAGCTGGCATTATAAGAAAATCAAAATCTCCTTGGGCTTCAAACGTGGTTCTTGTTCGTAAAAGAATGGCAAACTGAGACTTTGTGTAGATTACAGGATGCTAAACAATAAAACGGTCAAAGATTCGTACGCTTACCTCGCATTGAAGAAGTGTTTGATGTTTTGAAAGGAAGCAGATATTTTTCAACCAGAAATCTGGGTATCATCAAGTAGAAATAGAGGAAACACACAAAGAGAGGACTGCTTTTACCTGTGGACCGTAAAGATTCTGGGAGTATAACAAAATGCCATTCGGGCTAAGTAATGCACCAGCTACATATCAAAGATTAATGGAGGAATGCTTAGGAGAGTATAATATGAAGATCTGTGTAATTTATTTGGATGACCTTATCATATTCAGCAACACTTTTGAAGAACATTTAGAAAACTTGGACAAAATTCTTACCAGATTAAAAGAGTGCAACTTGAAACTTTCAGCAGAAAAATGCTTCTTCATTCAAGAAAAAGTGAAATTCTTAGGACATATAGTGAGTAGGGAAGGAGTAGAGACAGACCCGGAAAAAATTGAGAAAAAAAAAAGAACTGGCCTTTACCAAAAACATCAGATGATCTGAGATCATTTCTAGCATTCTGTGGTTCCTATAGAAGATTCATCAATAATTCTTCCAGAATAACAAAACCATTATCGGAATTGCTACCTCCAACATCAAAGAAATCAAAGAAACATTTTAAAGAGTGAAAATGGACCGAAACCGAGGAAGAGATATTCAATAGACTTAAAGAAATTCTTTCAACTTCACAAATTTTGGCATATCCAGATTTTGATCTTCCTTTTGAATTGCATACAGATGCATCGTCCAAAGCTTTAGGCGCTATCCTTTACCAAGTCCAAGACAACAAAAAACGTGTAATATCCTATGCCAGTCGTGCACTTTCAAAATCGGAGAAGAATTACTCTGCATTTAAATTGGAATTTTTGGCTTTGAAATGGGCGGTGACGGAAAATTTTTCAGACTATTTGGCTTTAAAGCATTTTACAGTTTTAACAGACAATAACCCTCTCACTCATGTCTTAACAACAGCTAAATTGGATGCTACAGGACAGAGATGGGCATCAGCTCTTGGAGAATTCAACTTTGATATTATTTATCGGGCAGGAATCAAGACTGCTGATGCAGATGGAATGTCTAGATACCCATATGAGGAAGTACAGCAGAATGGAACAGACATGGTGAAAATTGACAACAAGATAGTGAAAACAATATGCAGCAGTATTATTTTTCCTCCTTACATTGAAACATTACCAACTACTAGTATCAATATAATAGAAGCTACAGAATCACCAGAAACTCCTATGGCACAAATTGAAATGAGGGAAATAAGACAAAATCAAAGACAAGATGAAACAATTGAGAGGTGGCGGAGGGCTGTGATAGACAATAAACTACCAAGTAAGAACATAAACAGGGATGACATCTTAATGAGAAGTAACTTCAAGAACTTTACAATGAAAAGAGGTATCTTACATAGACATTTAGAAGAACAAAAGGTAGACCAACTTGTCATACCAACTTGTTATCGCAACGATATATTAAAGGTCTTCACGACGATGTAGGCCATCCTGGAAGGGAAAGAACTTCAGCACTTTTGAAAGAGAGATTTTATTGGCCAAGGATGATAGCAGATGTAGATAATCATTTGTCAAAATGTAGTCGATGTTTACGTCGTAAAACAAATGTTCACAGTCGAGCTCCTTTAATAAATATTACAACAACATACCCATTGGAAATGGTGTGCATGGATTATCTGACGTTAGAACCAGCAAAAGGAATTGGAAACATTTTAGTAATAACTGATCATTTCACAAAATTCGCTATGGCAATCCCAACAAAGAATCAAACTGCAAAAACAACAGCAGAAGCTTTTTATAACAACTTCATCATACATTATGGAATTCCTACAGCAATACATTCTGATCAAGGAGCAAACTTTCAATCAGAGATCATTAAAGAATTATGTGTTATCACACAGATGAAAAAGACAAAGACTTCCATATATCACGCCATGGGTAACGGAATTACAGAGCGATTCAACCGGACGCTTCTTGATATGTTAGGTACTTTAGAAACTTCACAGAAAACGGATTGGAAGAAGTACATACCAACACTAGTCTACGCATACAATTCAACACCACATGAAACAACGAAAATTTCCCCTTTTGAATTAATGTTTGGCAGAAAGGCAAAACTTCCTATTGATGCTGTATTTCAACAAGCAACAGATGAAAATGAAACAACAGAAATGCCTAAAACAGACTACATCAAAGAATTGAAAGAACGTATGGAAAGGACAAATCAAATAGTTAAAGATATCTCTGATAAAGCAAGACTTAAACAGAAGAAATATTTTGATAAGAAGGCCAAGGCAGCAACTATATCTGTTGGTGACAAAGTACTGGTAAAAATTTTGAAATTTGATGGTAAGCATAAAATTGCTGACAAGTTTGAAGAGGAACTATATAAAGTCACTGAACAACCCAGACATGATATACCTGTGTTTAAAGTGAGATCGGAAATATCAGGAGTAGAGAAGATACTACATAGAAACCATTTGTTTCCAGTCCAAAGTCAGGAAACAACAGAAGAAGAGTTAAATATGGATATAATCGATGCATCGAAAGGGATGGAAAATGAAGATGATGACGATAATGATGATGATGATTCTGACTCAGATAATGGATACGCAGTTGTTAATAATACATCTGAATTTGGGGACGCCCATAATCCTTTACCTTTGACAGAAGATCATGATATACCGAAGGCAGAAAATAAAGTAGACATAGAAAACAAAGGAACAGACGAAGAGGAACTTGAATCTAATGAGATTGAAGAAGTGGATGACATAGAAATACAAAGTGTGGATTCAAATCATCATGAAGAACATGTAGATTCAGATGACACACCTATTGAAATACACACAGGTATAGACAACGACTCAGATGACAATTCAGAAACAAGCACGGAAGTGACAGATGAAAATTCACATGTTGATGAAGGTCCAGGAATTGAAGAAATCCCTGAAGAGCCTCCACCAAAACCACCTCCAAGGCCTAAGCCAACTCCAAGACGTTCTGTAAGAGAACGTAAACCACCAAATTGGCAAAGTGATTACCACATGAATCGAATGGTACCAAGACCATATGATACCAATCTACAGGCATTAGATGTATTGATGAATTCTGGCGTATTGAACAGGATTGATATTCATGTGGCACAGAAGTTATTAAATACATTGTCTGATTGAAATATTGTATTCAGTACTTTTGTATTTAATTTTATATGTAATGTATTGTTTGAATTTTTGTAATTTTTTAACCTTAATTGAATAAATTTATATTCTAATCATTGAATAAAAGCCAATATAAATTAAAATAATTCAGTATATATTGCGAGGTCGCAATATTTAAGAAGGGGGAGGGAAGAATTGAATTTATATAGACTGTTGTAGAGATTAACTTTATATACTTGAAGTTAACTGATATTGGAAGAGTTGTAAAAAATTTCTGATTGATTCAGAATACTGATGAGTTATATTTTGAGAATTGTTTTCTTCAAATAGAATTATTTGATGTGGATTATTCTTTGTATATATGATAATGACGGGACGTCATTTTCTAAGGTGGGGAAGTGTGTAACAGGATGGATAATTCGAGTGTCTTGATACATTTTTGGTTGTTTGAGTTGTTTCCCTTGGTTTCCCGCAATTTTGATCATGTGACTAGTTTTGTCTTTGTTGAAGCGGCTTTGTAAAAATTAAGATCAGACATTTTCTTAGTGTTTTAAATTTATTTAAAATTTGGATTATTGATAGTTGGTATGTATGATTTTGAGTTGTATTCGGTTATTATCAGTGTTTTAAAAGTGTATGTCATAGATTTGTTTTTTAATTAAGTAATGATTGTGGTCTTATTTGAAATATCATTAGTTTTCGTGGTTTGAGAATTGTTTCAGAAAAAGCAGTAAATCTATCTTTCTATTAACTTAATATCACATTTCATTCCCATCACTTTGCACATTTTGTTTATTATAATTTGCAGAAATTACAGCACAGAGAGTTTGGAAGTATGTGTGTTTTGAAAAAGATGATGTAATATGATATAATTGTACATTCAGTTCCACAAACTGGTAAGTTTGGATATTCTTTATGAATGTTATGTATTTTATGATAAGTTCATTAAATGAACTATTTATGTTAATGACAGCCAATAGAAAGCATATAACTATATTATATGTTAATGTACCTATGAGTGATATGTGTAATGTGTTGCAAATATCTATGTGTAATTGATCAACTAAATAAGGATGTTTTTATAATTGATAATTATGCTTTTCAGATATAGGAACTGGATTTTACTTTATTTTTATGTTGATATAATTTGTTTACTTTCAGAGTGTTGATCGATTCGATTGATTGAGATTTATTGAAGGTTTATTGACGATTCATTGACGATTGATTTTGTCGATATTTGGATATGTAAGATTGATATACATGTATGTGTCAGAACTAGAAGATAAATAAATATATAAGAACTGTGCACAGTTATTTGTTTGGAAAGACATCTTTGATCCATATTTAGACGCCGCAGCGATATAAGAATAGAACCCAATTTCTTGGTTATTACAACCTTTCAATTTCAACCAAGTTACACAATCATTTATAATCCATATGTGTAACGCATGATAAACACGTACCACACCTTTGTAATTGTCCCTTATTATGTTATCGCTATTAGCGAAGACCCCCTCTTAAGGTATCTGTTCACACTTGAAGTTAGTAAAAATATGACACTGGTTAAAGTTACATTAAATAAATTTCATAAAAAACTAAATAGCGACATTTCATTAATAAACTGGGTTTTATATCGACTCCAGGTCTTATTTTGGTGTCCAAACAACCAAAATGAGTTTTATTAGCATAAAAATAGGTAACCTCATTGTGGCGAAATGGGAAATACAATTTCTGTTTGCATGAGAAACTCCGCTTTCGGATCATCCGTACATCAATATTAAATCAACAATCATGACTATAAGTAGCAGTCCTAATTTAACGGTATATTTCCGCATTGTAACGGATGTTTTCATACAAATTTAATCTTTTTACGAGATTATTACTTTTACTGAACCCCAGGTTTAGTGCACCGTGAAGCTTAAACGGTTAAAGTGTGTTTTGCACAAAAAATATCACATTTGCTGTGTTCGGATAGCAACTATAAAAACTGTGACGTAGCGCATACACGAGCCCATTATAGTCTTCATTTGCATGTTAAAATTCGTATACGAACTTTAGTGGTACCGTGGGGTTTCCCGTTTAAAATCCTTATTTATGAACAATATTTGATGCGATTTACAATAATACTATAAAACAGGTTAATGAAACTGTAGAATGTTTGATTTTTAGGCCGACGGCAAAATATTTTTACATATTTATTTAATGTAACTTTAAATTACCATGTTGATCATGTTGAGCATAATTGTTTATTATACAATAATTGTAATATCTATTAATTTTAATTAAAAAAAAACAAATTTTATGAATATTGTTTTCTTTTCTTTTTTGTGTTTTATGTGCTATTTTAATACTGAGTTTTTACTACTCTTTTTTTATTAAAATTGTAAAATAAATTTTAAGAATTCAATTGTCATATTGACCGACGATTATAAGTCAAAGCTTAACTGGAAAAAGTCAGTAAATTATGGTTTATCTTTCAATACATAATATTGTTTATTCTTAAACCATGTACATGTACATTTGTATTTTTCTTTATCATTTTTTAAATTATCAATCAATTGAATAATTCATAAAATCTACTTTGTAACTTTGAATAATTCCTCGGCATCTTTACTAAACACGGATAACAAATTAAATAAAATGTTTCAAAGTTGATAATGTCATTTTAATACCATAAAAATGTACCTTTTTCTCAATTATTGTACATATCACGGATTTATATTACATATAAATCCGTGTACATATTTATTGTTTTTATCTCATATAGATAAAATGAAACATGCTATTGTTGTTTTTTGTTTTTTTCTAATTGTAACGATATCAAACATCTACTCCAAAACCGGGAGAGACCGGACAATAAACGTGTGTTCACTAGTAAATCCCGGTCAAAATAGACCGGGAGAGACCGGTAATTACCGATAGGAGTGATAAATAGATATATCTATAAATAGATTTTTGGAATATTTAGGTCATCAACTGATCATTCTAGGATACATGTACAACAATAACATACCATGATAACCCACTGTGTACTACAAAATGATAAATAAAAAACCCCGAAGAGCGCGGTTTATTGACGGAAAAGGTTATTTCATTTGAAAATGTTTGCATTGCGAAATTCTCCAGTTCGCTATTCATTGTAACATATCGCGACATTTCATTCTTAATTAATAATCAAGCAGCCTCATACCGATCGGAATGATCGGATTTTATTATGACCGACTAAAAGGCTCGAGAAGTTGCTGTCGCCCTTTCACAAAATCTGATTTCATTCCATAAGAGCGCCGCGCTTCGGCGCGGACGCCAACAAAACAAGAGAACTAACTTAAATATAGGGAAAATGCCAAGAACTTTTCATAATTGCTTAAAATAAAGTAAAAGTAAAAAAGGAGTAAATAAACCCCTGTACCACTTATCTTAAGCTCATGTTTTATTACAGTTTTATTACTTAATTTGTTGGAATAGTACCTATAAATGATAAAATTAAAATCTAATGCAAAAATAAAATATAACAGTACCAAAAGGCTCTATTGTATATGAATAGACATTGATAAAATAAATCAGTTACTATATAAAATTTCCCAACTGTATATGATTTATAAAAAACATTAAATATAAAATAACATGCATTATCAGATACAAACATGCATAATCAGATACAGTTTAAAATTAAAGTATAATTATGTAATATCTGGAACATATATGCGCACACATAAGCTATAAAATGAAAGTCATACATGTATTTTATTCCATTTTAAAAACATTCTGTTTGTATACACATGTACTTTGTTCTTAAAAAGAATTTCAAAATCTGTTACAGTTTAAAATCCACATCACAGATATGCTATAAAATGACATAAAAACAAATTTCCAGATCCTTCTTTCTTAATTTCCTGATAATAAAAGGGCTATGTCATGCAATAACTGAATGCAAAGTTCTCTCTTTCTCTTTAGAAGAATTTTCCAGACTGGTTGCAAAGTCATTCTCTCTTTCACTGAGTTCTGGACTGGTTTTGTACTCTACTTCCTGTTCCTGTATATCTGGACTGGTATCATTTTCTCCAGAACTTTGTAGACTGGTTGGAGTAGTGGAGTATATTGCTAGGCCAATAATAATCACCGCAAAGGAAACAAAATACAACACATGGAACTGAAAGAAGAGGTAAGAAAAACAATTCTAAGAATCATAAGTGATAAAAAAACAAAACATTTTCTTAACAACATCTTGTCATAGACAATGAAGCAGCCCACTTCTATCCTTCAAATCTTATACATGGTGTTCACAAAGGGACATGATTCTGTCAAAATCCATGCTAGAATTATCAGTCTTGGATAAAAACCTACCATAATGATTATAAATAGGTGTTTGTTATTACAAGAAAATATCTGAGGTGGTTGATAAGATAAATGTTGTACAAGAAGTTGCATGTAAAATTTTAACTAAAGTGTTTTGATTTGCATATAAAACTTTAACCAAAGTGTTTTGCCAACACAGATGCTCAGATCTCATAGCCACATTTCTTTTCAAATAGTTGAGCTTAAAATGACCGCATACAAAGAAGTTTCAAGCTTATGCCCTGAGTAGTTAATGAGATATAAAGTTGCATTTAAAACCATAATGAAGTATAACCTCAATCAGAGTTGTGGGTAGGTTATCCCCAATAATTAGTCTTGGTCAGTTTAGTTCAGCATAAGACACCAGCAGTTGTTAGTCAAGGTAGCAGATCTCATGTGTTTTTTTATCAATCATTTTCTTCAATCAAGCCTCAAACTGCTCTGAATAGTTTCCTTACACGAAAGATTTCAAATCCCTTGCCAAAATTTAAGCAACAGTAAGAATGGGCAGGAAATATCAAGGGCAGTAAATATTCTGACTATTTTCCAGGGGCTATTAATATTCCAACTATCTTACATTTCTTATTGGGTTTTATGTCACTATGAAACTGTTAAGATCATTATGAAAACCTTCCACAGATGCCCATGTCCATCATTATTTAAGGCAAAATTGGGTACCTGAATTGAACCATCATCCTTTCATAAGCTTCTTAACATACAATGTAAA